GTGATAGAATTTGATTTAGAACACATTGAAAATTTGGTATGATTTTTGAATCTTATATGGATGATAGGATTTTGAGGTTTAAGATGAAATAATGAATATATATTGGTTTAAGTATGTGTACTAGAGTTAAGAATGAAAAGGGGATGATATATGAAGTGTTTGAGAGAAAATGAAGTGATTTTCGAGCTAAAAATATGATTTCTGGGCAAGGGGAATCGGTACCCATTCAAGGGGAACCGATACCCCTTCAAACGACAGAATTCCAGAATGCCAGAGGGGAACCGATACCCCTACAGGAGGGAACCGATTCCCCCTAAAGGAAAATGTTAATATTGGTTTAATAAGTTCGTTTAAGTTGCTAGTATCCAATTAAAAGGTGTAGGTATCTAATAATTGTCTTAAATTGTATAATTATGTAGATTCAGAGCCTAAACGAGTTCCGGAATCATTGACAAGTAAGATCGATAAAAAGGGAAGATAAGATATTGAAATGGACTAGTGAGGCCATGTGAGTGCATATTAATTCATTTATGGTGCTAAATGAAAACAAGACTTGTGACAAGTCTATTTCCTATGTTTAATGCATGAATATATGATTATATGTATATGCATGACATAAATTGTATGTATGCATGATTATATGTGTTAACATGCTTTTGAATGAATGATATGAAAAGTGAGATAAACAAATTATGGTTGATATAGGGTAATATAAGAATAGCTCATAAGGTTATATGCATAGGTAATATAAGTTATAAGATGAGAATATATAGGAATATCAAATAAGTTATGAGATAAGTTATGTGACATGATCTATATATATGAGTTTATGGGATATAAAAGTGTATAAGTGAAATAACATGATAGGTGATAAAACCGTAAGCCTATATGATTATGTGTTATATGTTACATGATATGACATGCAAGTTACATGAACAAATGAGAAATGATATAAGTCATATGAAACGATCTACGTGAATACATGCACTTGTGATACAGGTGATATGATATGAGATATATGGTTACACATACCTGTGGTATGTGACAGAAGAGAAATAACAAGTGATACGAAATGTATAAATAAATGCCCATAGTATATGATCTTATGTGAACAAGATATGATAAGTATGGTTATATGAATAAAGGTGATTGGGTGAGAAATGTAGAAATTATGAAAACATGATATATGTGACCTGTGAATTATATGGAAATGATCTACGTGTAAGTGAACTACGTGACTATGTGATAATATGAAAAGAAGCTATGTGATACGTGATATGTGAAAGTGAATTACAAGTTTATGTGAATATTTGAAATGAAATAAATAATAACGCCCATGTTATGTGTCATGAGAGCTAGGGGTATAGTTGGCATGCCAAGAGTCGAGGGTTTACCTATGTTCTACGGAACATATGGACAGTTTTACCTATGTCTTTCGAGACATATGGACAGTATACCTATGTTCTAAGGAACATATGGACAGTTACCGAGGATCTTTATGACCTCTGGACAGTTACCGAGGATCTTTATGACCTCTGGATAGTTACCGGGGTCTTTGTGACCTCTGGATAGGTCCTTCGGGACATTTATATGAGCTGTGGTGACAGCATAGTGGTGCACAACCTCAATAAACTCACATATCTACAGTTCTCACAGGTGCACATGGGCTAATAAGAGATAACATGGAATGTACTGTAGATGATATATGTGTGTTAGTGATTATTGTATATGCTATAAGATATATGATATGAGCTTAATTGATTACGGGTCTTTGTGACCTCTGGATAGGTCCTTCGGGACATTTATATGAGCTGTGGTGACAGCATAGTGGTGCACAACCTCAATAAACTCACATATCTACAGTTCTCACAGGTGCACTGGGCTAATAAGAGATAACATGGAATGTACTGTAGATGATATATGTGTTTAGTGATTATTGTATATGCTATAAGATATATGATATGAGCTTAATTGATTATATGAACAAGAGAATAGAAATATGAAAGGTGCATAGTAGGAATCATTACATGTATATGTGGGTATGATGCTTACATGTGATATGTTAGTAGGAATTGTTCAAGCATGATTACGAGTTAGAGTTTTATTATATGTTTTATGCCTCACTAAGTCAACGACTTAGCGTGTGATTGTTTCACACGTAGGTTACAGAAGTGAGAAGAGTAAAGAGCTAAGAGGAGCAGGACAGGTCAGTTCTCCTTACCCATTGTCAGATCAGAAATATATGTACTGTATATAGTGTAGTTGGCATGTAGTCTAAAGACATAAATTGTATGAACTCTGATATATATTTTGTAAACGTTTTGAATGAGTTAAATGTTATCAAAGTTTTTAAATTACTCACTATTTTATACGAATAAATGTTTGAAAAGTCGATGTGACACTTCGGACTCGTATCCGGATCGGATACGGGTTGGGGGTGTTACATGATTAATAAATATAGGTTTTATTATAATTTTGGCTCGGGTTATATACTCAAAAACCAAAACCAGAAACCCCTTGCGTGAAATCCCTAACCCCTTAACCTTACCCTGTCAGACTCCCTCAATCCGCCTGTTCCGACCGTCGTCAGTGTGCACCGTTACCACCAGCGTGACCGGCGACCTCCCGCGACCAAAATCCCCTATCCCTTCGTCGAATGGTTGCGGCGTTCATCGGAATAGAACGGTTGATGTTTCGACAGAAAAGACCCCACCCGTTCGATTATTCGTGATTTCCACCCGAATTCGACGTCGTATTTCCTCACCGCCACCACCTCTACACTCCTCACCTTCGTCCGCTCAAAACTCGACCGGTGGGTCGAGTTGTCGTCGCCAGTGTGGGTAAGCTCGATTTTATATTTTTGACTAATTTTCTCAATTTTGAATGGATTTTGGTTGGATTTTTGGTTTGTAAATGATGGAGTATGGTAAGTGAAAGAGTCCGAAGTGTTCGATCGTCGCTGCCATGTGCCGCCGTGTGTGCGTGGGGCTCGTCATCACCTAGAAAAACTTCTAGAAACTGTCTAGGTGGACCGAACTGGCCCAAACTGGTTCGAACGGGTCTGTTTGACCCGACCGAGTCAACTTGGATCGAACCAAGTCCACATGAATCGGTCTGACCTGTTGACATTGACCCGAACCGTTGGCTTTGATCGAAACGTTAAATTTTTCGAAAAGTCATATTTTATGTTTTTCGACGTCCTAAGTCTGAATCCTAAGTCTGTTTTGTCAAATTCGAACCCAAAAGCCTTCAAATTGACTGTTAAACCTGAACGTGCATGTGTAATTTAAGTATTTATTTTAGTGTATCTAATTAAATTGAAGGCTCAAAGACTAATTTATGTTATCATTTATTTAAGGTACTCGCGATTCTCCTAACCATTCGTTTGCTCGACCAGATCCCTCCCGATATGTCCGACAACACGAGCTAGTGATTACTCGTATAGTTCTATAACCCTGTTAAATACTTAGTTTAGTATATTACTCTGAGTATAACAATGTTATGATATAATCTAGGTTCGCGTACAACAAAAAAAGCATAGTGAAGCCGGTGCTCGATGGATCTCCCGGACTATTTCATTTTGTGAGGCGTTTCTTGTGTGCCATATAACTGTTTTAAATATCTTTGTTAAATACCATGTGCACATAATTATTTTCTCTGAGTTGAAATGAATTGGTTGTTTTGATTTAACTACTATATGACTTATCTGATTTAAGTATGATTTCTGATTTACTGTATTTTAAATCATGCTTGCTTGACAGATGTTCTCTGGTTACTGTTTTACTGATAAATAAGTATGTTTGAACTCTGATTTCCTGCTACCACTTGTTACTATCTGAAAAGTATTTTTCTTCGGGGTACTCTTGGATCTAGTATGAAGTCTATGCAGGTTCAGCTTCGATCAAACTGGTAATTCATTATATAGGTTCAGATCGATCGAGTTGGTAATTTCTTATGTACCTAAAGCGACCCTTGAGTGGGCTCTTGGGCCCAATGGGCCTAGTGGTAAGACCTTATAGACCTTAAGGTACTCCCTTAGGGTGGCATGTCTGCTATATGCATTGGGTAAGTCCTTATGGGCTTGAGGGCACACCCCTCAGATGGACGCCTATGATTCGGCTAGGGTAAGACCTTATGGACCCAAGGTGCTCTCTTAGGTTGACACCTACACCCTTTGGGTCTAGGGTAAGTCCTTATAGATGCAATTCTGGAGAACTGCATATGGTGTTCGGTTGGAGGGTGATTATGTATTTTAAGCTTAAAAAATGCTACTGATGTTTTCACAACTTGAAACTGAACTGATTTTAGAAACTCAACTATATGTTTTATTTCTGCATTGTTGGAACACACTGAGGTCCCTAGCTCAATCCCCCAAACTTTTCCAATAGGCGACCCGAACCTGGCACTTGGAGGATCAACATATTCGTACATTACCTTTTTGTTGTAATTTTTTTATCTTCCGAGCTACATTTATTTTGGGTGACATATGCATATACTTTAAAAATATTTGTTTTACGACTTATACCGCTTTTGATATTGATGTTATATTTATTTCGAAACTGATTACGGAATATTTTTATTTTACTTAGCCCTTACGGCGACTTTAATTTATTGATATTGAATTTTTAATATTAACAACTTTATTTTTAGGGATGTTTATTCAAAAATATGATTTTAAGTTATTGAAAAATGTTTTGAAAATTTTTATTATCATCAGCTAGATCTGATCGTAACGTATAGACCGAGTCTAGGGGTTACAAAAGGTTACTACTCTTTCTGTGCAGTCGAGTGCGGCTCAAATAGGTCAGTTTTCTTTATTTACAAATTATCATAAACTGTTTTTATCGACTTTAGCTGCAGCAACTAAATATTCTAATAACTCGTTAGATAAAGAGGTTCTGAACTTAGAACAATGCAACAAAAATCAAACTAGATCATATAAAGCTCGGTTAGTCTCCTCAGGTTCCGACACTTCTGATAACACGAAAACAACATCTAACCTTTCCTGCTTGCTGTATAATATTGTTAGTCCTCGTGTGATGCCGTTTGTTTGAACTCGGACAGCACCCGAACTAGCAATTTGTCCCGGTCAGCATCTAAAATATGTCAAATTAATGAAAAACTGGTGGAAACTGTAAAACATACAAAGATGAAGGAAAGAAGTTCCACAGACTAGAAATATAAGGTATTCACATAGATCTATTAGTTAATAGAATGATCCTCTTTAACAAGACATTGACAAATATTGAGAAATAGCCAATACGAGTACCAGTCAAAACAACTTGATGAGTAACATTTATCCCCACAGTCGAAATATCTGCTCTTGTGAACACGATTTGCAGCATCTGATCTCCAAAGATCTGTTATCAATTCAGAATTTGAAGATGTCAGACAGTATATGCAGCCGTGACACTAGCTTACAACAAGATTGAAATGTCAAAATCAGAATAGAAGTTTATATTCAGATTTTTTCATTTCGTGAACACCACCTTCAACTGTTGAAATCATACAAACGTCTAACATCTAAGAAGTAAAAGTTGGATTGGGTAGAAAGAAATTGATAAGGCTAAGAACTGCATATACTCTTCCAACAGTTGCTACTTTTATTCAAGTCAGAAAGGTTTAAATATACTGTAAAAATATTCAGTCTGATGAATTGGTGTAGGAGACGGCAAATAGATACAAAGGCTTTGGGACACTTACATTGGCCTCTGCCGCTGGATTCACATTGCCATTTACTGCAAAAGCGCCACCAAGAAGAGCAATCTGCCCAATGTTTTTAGCAAATGATTGTCTTGTTGAATAGCCTACTCAACATAGAATCATCATGAAATATTAGGGATGTCATTTACAAAGAATGCGACGATAGTACAAATGATCAAGAATCGAACCAGTGCAATATTTGTTAAAGGTCCTAATGCCACCACAGTGACCTTCCCAGGATAAAGGTTTGGTTGCTCAATAAGAAAATCAGGAGCTGACATGTCAATAGGCTTTCCTTGCGGTGGAGGGAAATTTTTATTGCCATGCCCATCCGTACCATGGACAAAATCAGCAATATGAAGTTTTGTACCTTTCTGGATGTAAAACTATTCATCAGTTTAAGTAGAACGACACTACCATAGAAGTTATTGAAAAAATAGTTAATATATATATATTTTTGTGTTTATGGCATCCAACTGCAAAAGTGGGATGACATTTATGATTCATCATTTCATTCAAGTTTTTTATGATAGGTATAATAAAAAAAAGTACCGCACCATTTGAACAGAAACTAACAATTAAATTTAGAAAGTTTGATGTGCTGTGTGATACAGGCATACAGCTAAAGAAACATCTTAGTCACTCTCTAGTCTCAATCCCCAGCCTTGAATCTTATCGATCTTACCCCTTCCAACAACAACACATTCAAAACTTAATTGTTTATGAAAATTTAAATCCAAGAAATTATAATTTTGTCTCAGTTGAAGTTAGATAAAAACTTGGAATAAGATTAATAAATTGGTAGCACTTGCAAATATAATATTGGCCCTGTTAAAACTTCCACCCATCTAGTTTAATATAATAGTTAAAACTTGACAGTATTAAAGTGGAAAGGGTATATTCTTAAATATAGAAATAACAAGGTATGGAGAACACTTGTCAATAGAAGCAAAGACTATTTCATATCATGTTCTCTCTGATTCCAGGTTCAACACCGGCGAGAGAAGGTCAAGGATAATGGATTATGGACTAAAATATTAAATAATCTTATGGATGGCCACAATAGTGTGGATTAGGATACTTACATATATTCGACTTGCTTTTTACCGATTCAAATAACTCGAATTTGGATATTTTAATTAATAAAAGTAGAAGATTTGGTATTAATACTCGGATGCCCATTATCAGAATTTGCTTTACTTTTGGGGATTCAGATTTGGATATTCGAATCTATTATCTGTTTTACTTCTCAAAAAATTTATTCTAAAAATAATTTTGGACTTACTAAATGCAGACTTTTAGTGGATTTGAATATAATTCAATTTAATGTGGGATCATAAACGGATTGGATTTTAAATTGATTTGCAGATCTGGATTTAAATTTATTATTATTCAACCAAGAAATTTTAGGGATCATGAGATATGAAAGGCGAACAAACTAAAGACAGACAAAAAAATTGAGATAGACAAACGATAATAGCACATACAGTGATGGTAACATGTGATCCTTCCGCCACGGGGATATCAGTCCTGTCTGCAACCTCTAACTAGGAGACGATCACTCCAGCAGACAATCCATATCAAATCAATGCCAATCAGTTACAAAAGAAAGATAAATCAGAGCAGAAATAATGAAAAGTTACCAAGTGTAAGGCATTTCTAGTGGCCAAAGTAGCATAGACATTGCCATAAATAGTGGTGAGACCGATGACCTCCACTTCAGGAGATCTGAGTGCTAGAAATATCGCCATGGCATCATCTGCATATCCGATCGGATCACAAAAAACGAAGATCAACATAAGTTCATACAGAAGCATTTAAAGTATAAACAAGGAAGGATAAGTGCAACAGTAGAATTGAAATAGATTCAGAAATAAAATTTAGATTTCTAAAAGAAAAACAGATCAGATAGTTGAATTTGCAATAGTTCTACTTCTAATCGAGTGATATGACATAATTACCGATGCCAGGATCAATGTCTATATGATCTTCTTCGCTCCTTTTGCGCTTCTGCCATTGGATTTCAGAGATTTTTTCTACCTCTTTAGTTTTCTGTCAGACAAGAAAGATTGAAGATGAAGTGAAGATGAGGGAAGGAAAAGAGATAATACAAAAAGTGCTGCAGCTTAGGTGGTAAAGTTGGGTCTGGATAGAGTCTTAAACGGAACTTGTTTGGGTAGTTGGGACAAATTTTCGTGGATATGTTTATAAAATTTTGAAATGGAAAATATATTATTAATAAAAAATATAAAAAATAAATTAAAATATAAATAATTTTAAAATATTAGGGAGCGGTCGTCTTTAATTGCCCTCTCTCGATATATTTTCAATGAGTATTTGATGGAATTAAATATAAAAAATATAATTTATTCAGTTTATGAGTATCATTTTATTATTGAATTTTTAAAAAAATTTAAGTCAAATATAATAGACTCATTTGATTGATTATTTAATTTTATATTTAATTATTTTTTTTACGAATCAAACGATCTCAATAGTTAAGGGATTTGTTGTTAATTTTTAGAGTTCTTATTTTATATGCCGCGTATGTAGACATATGAGCTATTATTGTCAAAGAATTAGAATCTTTAAACAAATACACCTTATATCTACCTAAATTTATTAAAAAATCTAATCATTTATAATATTATCTCAAACTTAGATTAAAATTAAAATTAAAACTTTGGTGAATAAAAACTGTTCAAAGTAATATTATCAAAATACAACAAAAATGAAAGTTGGATGACCACTCTTTGTACTTTATCCAATATTTTCGTTCAAAGAAAAGCAGCAAACTGACACGTGCCATTTCCCTCAAGGATTTTGAATCGGCGGAGCCACCGGAGAGGGGAAAAAAAAGGAACAAAGCTTGTTCCTCGTATTGGCGTTGGCAATTTCTTCATTTTCCCCCTTTTTTTTGGGGGGGGGGGGGGGTGGGGGGAGAAAATCGAAGAGAGATGAAAAGATATAAAACGAAAAACGAATCCAAAACCTAATCTCAGAGACGTTACTTTATGAACCTAATCCATCCAGCTTCACGGATTTGAATCAACTGATCTGATCAGTTTTTATTTGTTTATTTTATCGACTCTACGGTCATTAGTGGAGGAGAAGGAAGGGATCAAGTGAACGGAAGGTGAGGAGTGGAGAGGATGCTGTCAACGGGAGACCTAGACCAGACCTAGACCGTCAAATCGAGCAGCTGATGGAATGTAAGCCGCTTTCGAGGAGGAGGTGAAGGCATTATGCGAACAGGCACGAGAGGTACTGGTGGAGGAATGGAACGTTCAGCGGTGAAGTGTCCAGTAACGGTATGTGGAGATATTCACGGACAGTTTTATGATCTAATAGAGCTGTTTCGGATTGGAGGCAATACGCCTGATACTAATTATCTCTTCATGGGAGATTATGTAGGTCAGTTTGTTTCTTAGTTTTTTTTTTTTTTTTTGCTTAAACTTTTTCAGGATTTGAATTTTGATGTGATTTTAAAATATTTTCAAGGCAGTGTTTCATATATTATTCTTTTTGCATTATATCTTTGTGAAGAATATTGGTGAATATGCTTTGGTCTCTGTTGTGCTTTGCTATTTTTCATCACATTTATGTTTTTCTTATGTAAAATTTTGTGGATTAATCAATGGAGTTTTATATAATCAGATTTGTAGGCACAGATATTTCCTGGCTTTGTTAAAAAGAAATAGGAGCAGTGTTTTGAAAATCAAACCGGACTGATCGGTTTAATCGGAAACAGTTGCCTAGTCCGGTTCAATCTAACACCAGTTGAACTGCTACTAGTGAACAGGTCAGAATCGCTGAACTGTTCGAACCGGACCGGCTGAAAACCGGAAAAAATTGCCAATTTTGTTTTTTTTTAATTAAACCAAACGACGTCGTTTGTTAAACGAGCCAAATCGAATTCGAGTATTGCTGAGCTCGACTCGAACTTGAAAAACTTTAAAAGTAAGCTCAACTCGACTCAAATTCACGAGCTAAAAATTATCAAGTTCGACTCAAACTCGAAATAAAACTTGAACTCAAAAATGCTTGAACTAAAAAAAAAAATTAGAAGATAGATTGAAGCCTAAAATTCGAGCTTAATTGAAATTGAGTAATAGTTCACTCAATGCTCACCAAAAGGCTTCATGATTTTGAATGCCAAATTACATCTATTATTTGTAGAAGTTAGTTGTGATACTATTCTATGTTTCTTAGCCATATGAGATTGTTTTGTTCTCATATTTTTACTCTTTAAACTTTTGGGATGCTCTTATATGTTTCTTAGCCATGTGAGATTATTTTTTTTTAAAAAATTAAACCAAACAATATCATTTTATTATGATTTTTTTAGCCCCAAATTTATTTTTTA